ATATTTGTTGCACGTCCTAAGAATGGAATCTTTTTTTTTCTTTAAAGCTAATTAGAACTCTCTGATATTGATCTTTGTGTTAGACAAATACTTGAAACCCCTTGGGAGGGAATTGTGTTTTGTTTTTGTTTTCATTCTGGGATTGTTTGAACTCCTCTTTGCCTCTCACAATGAGACAGCCAATCCTCTGATTTTGTGATGTCCCCGACAGAGTAGATGCCTGGCCGTCATTCAGACCAGACTCTGAATTTTCACACTGAAGTCTCTGGAGTATGCAATTCATGTTCCCCACACTATTTCCAAGTGTGATATACCCTCTGATTTCAACTCGGAAAATTAGCGTTCTTGAACCAGGCATTAAAACAGTTTCGTTGGTGGTGCCAAGGGCCACCTGTGGTCACATACTTGTTTTTCCCACACCTTTCCCTCGCACCTCTTGTGCAGCTCCTGTTGCCTTCTACCCCTCTGTGGTTTACTGTGCTTTGGAGTCCAAAGGGCAACATATGTTCAGTCAGTACTTAGAGTCTACTTTTACTCACTAATTTTTAACTTTTCAGTCCGTTTTTGAAAATTAAATAATTGATCCGGGTACAGCCTGGTAGCTGATTTTGCATTTAACCTGTCAGTTGCCACAACAAGTGTTTATTTAAAGCAGTCAGTTAGCTGCAGTGCAGCATAATTTCCACTGGGCCCTGCCACTTCTGCCTGGCATTCCATGTGTCTGTGCTGAGGCTTCTTGATATCCTACTTTTCCATATGGAAAGAAAGGGATTTTGTGTCATGTTTCACGTTGTTGGATTTTAACCAAGTAAGTCACGGCTTCAGGGCCGGCATGAGCTTCCCCACTGGAATTCTAGAACCAGACCTCCCTTGCTTAGGTTTGGTGATCCTTGTGCTATGACCTGACCTCCCTCTTTTGCTTTGAATACAGGATTATGGAAGTGACATCACAGGAAGCTACCTTCCGAGAAACCCCATCCCACTGGTCCACCAGCCCTGGGAGATCAAATCCACTTCCTGTTTCCTTGTCACCCCTGAGCTTAGAACAGCGTGTCCATAAAATAGGAGCTAGCTGAACATTTGTTGGAGCTAATCAAAATTGTCCATCTAATGCATTTATTTAACAAAGTGCTTGGAACACAGGAACAGGAACCACAAAACTCTCTGAGTCTTAGTTGCCACATCCTCCACTCACACCCCGCCCCCCCCCGCCCCCCCTTGTGTTCTTTAAGTTCTTTAGGTGTTCGTTCTATTGCTTCAGTCTCTCTGTAGAAGAAATAGTGATGTACCACTTAGCCAATCTGATTGAGCCCTCCTTACCCCCCTCCCCCCCCCCCCAAATAGATAGAGCCTCTCTCCTTGTTCAGTCTGCCCATAGAACTTCTGAGCCAATTTAAGAGCAGGAAAATTCATCCCCAGTCTAAAGTGGGATATGTGTGTGTGTACACGTACGTATGTACATTTTAGTCAAGCCACAGTATAAGGTGACTTGCATTCTTTGACTTTTTCCTGACAAGGGATTATGCAAAGCTTTTTATTTATTTTTATTTATGTGTTTGTTTATGCTTTTGTTTTTGCTGCGCTTTGCTCTGATAAAGTTGATTTCATTCAGCTCTAAAGTGACTTTGGCCCTCCTCTCCTATTAAAATATAAAAACAAGGAGATTCTCGAGTATACTATTAGAAAATGTCTCAGTGACTTTAGTTTTCTCTCATCTCAGTTCTTCACAGAAATTGCAGTGCTGGACTTTGAGCTAAACTGTTGGGTGAAAAATATACTTGTACAACCAATTCTATTAAAATGAAAAATATCAAATAATTTAATCACATTTACCATTGTGACAAAATGTTACATTTTTTGGCTCTCAAATATACTGTAGTGAAAATCAGAAATTTTGTTTCAGATGAATGTTAGGGTTTATTATTAAAGGCATATATTTTTATATAAGACTTTTATAGCTAGAATAAGTCAGTTTATCTGATGGTAATATTACTTATTTTTCAAATAACTCTCTTATATTTTGATATTAACATAAATGAAGAAAAGGTCAGGTGGCATTTTTAATTGTGAGCAGTATTCCCTTTATCCTCATTCTGTGTTTTTGAATATCCGTCATTTGATACTTTTTTTTGGTCGTCAGGTTAAAATGACAAAAGTATCAGCTGATAGCAAAATATATTCCCATTTTAACTACACCATGAATTCTCAGAAGATTAATGAAATTATGCATCCTGCAGCCTCAAAGTGCCTCAGTAGATAGCAATTTGCATGATTATTTTAATGTCTAATCATATCACTCCACAACTCTCCTTTTTTTGTACAGCTGTTAAAAGAAGTCATAACATTCTTGAGGCAACAGTAATAATAGACACAACTGTCATGGATTTAAAAAAGCAAGCTTTTAGGAAATTATATATACATTAGGCACAAGATGTGAAAAAGGTATCAGTGCATTTAAATATATTTCAGATTCTCCTGAGTGTTGAAATGGTCCGGCCTCTGCTAGGTAAAGAAGAGTATGTTTATGTGAGGGGGTTCACCCTCTTTGATCCACCAACAAAGCCCGTGTGCAGAACAGAGCCCCCTTTGGGAAGAGGAGAGGGACATGGGGAGATTCCTGCTTATGCATGTGTTCAGCAGTTAATTATAAATTCATCCAGTCGATCAGCATAGTTCAGAAATACAAACTTTCTTCCTCATACACTCAGTTTCAGAAGTGTGTTCATCAGAGGTAAGAAGCCTACTTGGACTGACATTTTCATATGCTTCCAAGCTACATGTAATTGAACCATTGAAGTCAAACACGAGTATTCTGTTAGAAAGCAGCTTGCCGTTTGTCTGAGAACGCAGAACCACTGTTGGAGTTGAAAGCAGCTCGGTTTAAAATAGAATGAAGTAGTTGTGTCTAAAGTAGCCCACACTGGCACTTTTAATAACGATCTCCAGAAGCTCACAGAAAGAAAAAAAAAGTGGTTTGTTTGTTTTTGTTTTGGTAGATGGAAAGTTTTTATGTTTGAAGTTAGTCAAATTCCTAATCATTCTTTTTCTCTGCTTTCTTGGCTGGTGGGTCGCCGGTGAGTTCAGGGTGTGTTACAGTTGAGGTGTTATGCTGGGGCTAATCTCTGTAAAATGCTGGCATTTGTTCTTCTTCTTCCCTATCATCAATCTTTCACACTCCGATCAAACCCCTAATGTATCAGCAGGTTTCCCAGAGCTGCTGGTTGAAATTACCTTTGCTTCTGGTAAACTCTGAACCTTCAAACCTCAGTGTTTTCAGTTGCCCCCTGTGGATTCTGTGAAGCCTCTGCACATTTCTCACTGCCAGTCACTTGCTTTATGTCCTGAAACCAGGAGCCTGTGCACAGTCCGTTTATTATTCCAACAGTACCCACCTTCCTCCCTTGAATGGAGATAGTGTGTAAATATTTCCAGTAATCGCTGCCGCTTATGCAAACTACAAGTGAAACTGTTGCAACTCCCCAAGCTAGAGAGCTCCTCTCTCTTTTACCCAGTCACAATGGGACTTCTTTAAACTTATTTTTTTCTAAGAGTTTTTCGGTTCCCCAGATCCCAACAGAAACTGGCAAATGAACTTGTTTCTCCGCGGGGTAAATACTGCATTGACATCATATACTCCTTAGAGTTGGCCTCAGTGATGATTTCCGTTCTCGGTGCTTCCTATTTCCTCCTCCGGTTCACATGCTCTAGTTTTTGCGCCTTTCATCTGCATTCTGTCCATCCACCCTGAGGAGAATGCTCAGTTCCTGCTGGAAACGGATTCCAGTAGATGAACCTTCTTTGCCAATGCACGCTCTGTGGTGTCTTCCCCTCAGTGCTTCTCACATACAACTCTCAGGCTTCGAGTTGGATTTTCTGGAAAGTTGACACCTTGTCATTAAGGACTAATTGCTGGCCTGACTCTCCTTGTTGCCTCTGACTAATTACGAGTTTTTGTTTCATTAAGATTTAGAGAAATGCCTAGTGAGTTCTTGAACATTAACAGGAAAAAGGACGTGACTGTCTTCTCTGGTTGGGGTTGTTGCCTCAAACCAGCAAAACTCCTAAATAACTCCTAAATCAGCTCTGCAAGTTTGATTTCCTACTTGACAAAAAACCCCCGCAGCTTGTGATGGTGAAATAATAATCAGGCTTGAAATTTATGATTCTCACACTGGAAGCCCCTCAAATGTTTTTATTCTTCACATATGCCTTTTAAATTTTGTATCTAGTAAGAATTTAGTGTACTTTTTTGTTTTCTAAAATAGTCATTAAAAAAGGGAAAATGAAGAGTACTAATAATTACCTAGCATATCTTATCTTTCAACAGTCCTCAGTAGTGGTTGCAATAGCTCACATATTTTTCAGAGATCCCAGTGACCTTTCCAAGTGTAGTTATATAACCCTTTCATGCACAAGCCTTCTCTAGTCTCAAGTAGGTAAGTAAGGTGCTGGAAATTATGATTATAGCATTTGTAATTTTAAGAGTCATAACTATTTTCTAAGGATATACTGCTGGAAAAGCATGTTTTATTTATGTACACGCTTCAATTTGAATGTTGCTATTTGGTTTTGGGTTTGTGTTTTTAAATGATTTCTCTTAATTGGGATGTGTGGGCCATATTTGAAATGTCCGAATCAATGAAATGAGTGAAATAAATATGAATTATTTAGATAAGTTTTCTTGTTAGAGTCCCGTCCCCCCTGCCCCCGCCCCTTTCGTTAAGGTTATCTTCCTTGAATTGGCCAAAAGAAATAAACTGAACTTTACCCACCAACTCTTTCAAATGCAGGATTGATATATCATATCGTTGCACTTTTTTAACTGGTAATGTCATTAAAGAGGAAAATTTAAAATATTGCATATTCTCAAAAACAACTTGAATTTGAATGAATTGGTTTTTTGTAGTATTTTTTTAAGCAAGAATTTTGTATGTAATTTTTCTTAACACAACTGTGTCTTATTTTTCTATTCCTCTTGTTTTGTTTGGTTTGGTTTGCAGTGGGTACACCTTATTACATGTCCCCAGAGAGAATACATGAAAATGGCTACAACTTCAAATCTGACATCTGGTCTCTTGGCTGTCTACTATATGAGGTGGGTAATGTTGATAAAATCTATATATTGGTATGCTTTTGTTTACTGTAATTCATTTACATTTATAGTATATACTTTTTCCTGGCTGATGATTAAGAATTAGCTCTTTCATTACAAAAAGTTAATTCCATGGCTTAGTAATTATTTATTTTTAGAATAGACTTTACTGACTGTAGTCTCCACATTTCCCTCCTCTTATAATTATTTGAACAGAAACTTATTTTTATGTGTTTTTACATTAGTTTACATACAGATTTATAAAAATGTACATTTGAGTATCTAAATAGAGAAACTTGCTTATCTGCATCACAGGAGAGATGGAATAATTCAGTATAGGCAAACACAGTAAAAATATTTATACCATTTTTTTAAACTATTACAGTTGTCTTAAAGGATAGTATGCCAGCAGGTCATTGTTGTAGATTTTCACTTAATTCGTTTCTGTAACGGTTTTCATTGGTACAGCATAGAGAATTATACTCTGTCCTGTTCTGCTGGTGATATTTTATCAAAGGAAGATGGATCCATGTAGGCTGATCTTCTGGCAGATGCATTGCAAATAATTTGGATGATAGAAGAAAATATATCAGAAGCACACTATCTCCATTTTATAGAGTGATTATGCTAAAGATTATCAGCCCATGACTGCTCTAATTTTATGTGTTTAATTCAATGGTAATTTTCCTAAGAATGTGGATTCTTTTTCATTCAGAGCTGTTAAAAATTAGTCTGCAAGTAACTTTTAAAAAAAATTAGCCTACAATGAAGTAATTCTTTTAGTAAAATAATTGAAGGAAAATATTCCATTTATTGTTCAATCTATTCAAAGGAAATCTGAAATATGTATGAAGCCAATGTATTTTTTACTCCATATTCTGCTTCTAATACTCCTAACTTAAATGAAATATATAATGAAGTAATTTATTTTAACTTTTCCACTATTTACTTGGAAGTACAGTGTCGAATTTTTTAAATCATGTATTGTGATCTTTAATTATTATTTACTGATTGCAATACCAAACTTTCTTACTTTTAAGAGTAAATGCTATTTATTTTGTTCTTCCTACTAAAGTGCCTAATGAATGTCACTGGAATAACCTTAATAGGAAAAAATAGTGATATAACAAAATATATTTTATGTATGCTATGAGGTTAAAACTGATAATTTGGTACAGTGTCAAGAAATTTGACTATATTGTCAATCATACTTAAAAGTCACTTTGTACATTTAGGAATATTTTATACTTGCCTAGTCTTTTATTCCTTCTGGCCATAATCTAATATTATCAAATATTATTCAATCATATAAATGTAAATAGTAAATTCCACTATTGAGATTAAATTTAGCAATGGAAAAAAATGTTCAGCAAGTGGTAATATGTTTGGCTTCTTTTTTTTTTGAGAAGTTTGCATAATTCTTCTAGGGATAGAAAGCACTCTAGGCAAAACTGAAATAAATAGTTCCTCACAGTCTAAATTTGACTTTGAGAGGAAGTGTTCCCTTGTTTTAAGTGCTGTAAGTGATCATTACAACAGATAGTCATTCTTTCGACTCCCCGACATCCATGTGTTTTCTGTGCTGCAGTTGGTTTTGAATCAGTGTATTTATTGTGTCATCCTGGGTTTTTATCCACGCACCTTTTTGCAGTTCCTCCATGCATTTGGAAGAGCTGCATTTGTCCCTCAAAAATTTAATTTGCCTTTATATTTTAAATCTCCTTCCACTTGTGTTTCAATATCTTTTTCATGGAAATATCAAAAATTTGCTTTGAAGAATTGGCTACCACATAAGATAGGTATTTTATGTTTTGACCCACCAAGAATGTATTACTAACAAGGAATAGGAAGCCTTTTAGAAAATGTATTTTAAACACAGAAAATTAGACTTTCAAATATTCTTGAAACCTCAAAAAAAAACCCTAGCAGTACAGTTTTAATTGATATGCAACAAAGTAGACTTTACTAATTAAAATCAAGATGCTGTGCTTTTGCTACACGGACCTTAACATGGAAAAGTGGGTTTTACACATTTCCTTTATTGTTCAGCGCAGCTATTGCATCCTTACAGGGTTGTAGGTTGGTGGCTTACAGTTCAAAAAAAAAAGAGAACTGCCACCAGCCCCGAAGACAGACAGTGGGCTTTCGTCCCTCCAACACCCCCAGAATACTAATCAGGAAAGTCAGACCCTGGAGGTCAGGGAGCAAGTCAATCATTCTAGCGATCGTCTCAGTGTGGAGGATCAAATTAGCCTGAAAAATTCAACTGCTGGGAGGAGAGGGCGAGCAGCTGTCAGGGGCAGCATCGAGATGCACTAATGAACCAGATGAATAGTGCAAAAGCTTGAAAATAAAAACAGGACAGTTGACATTTTTCATCTGTCAAAGCAGGAGATGCATGAAAATATACTATTCCTGTTTAACTCCTTAGGGGAGATTCAGATTCTCTTTTTTTTTTTTAACACTGTACTATTGAGACAAAAGTACTGTAATGAACTCCTGGTATATGATAATATATGTACTTTTGCTCAGGAATGTCGCAAACATATAGAGACTTTATTTATACAGCATGGTGTTAAGGTGGCACTTTTAATAGACTATTTTATCGGAAAATTCAAAAAAAGTAATTATTATAGCCTCTTATTTTTTAAAGACATTTCTCAAAGATGGAGTCTTTTGCAGGTTTTGTAAAGTCATTTGCATTGTTTTGTTTACCTTTTTTTTTCTTCATTAGGAAAAACTGCCCCTTAGGTTTTCCTTGAGAGTTTCATGTTGATTTCACATAAAATACAGGTTTGGTAAAAATCACTGAGGCACATTGTGGAACTGGGTCTCCTGGCTGAGGCTGTGAAAGAGTTAAGTCTGGCTAGAGCACGGAAGACAGATGAGAGCCATTTTCAGCTTGTCCTGTCCCCACTGACGCTCACTGAGTAGCACAGCACGGACTAGCGTGTTTCACACACACTCTGCCTGTCTGGGGAATGTACACATTGTCCTTCCAAAATCAAACTTATTAGCACATGTAGAAAAGGGTGACTGACTTTGGGGCAGCCTCACACTGTTGTATTCGTGCTGCTGCGGTTCAAAGATTTAGAAGGTTCTGAACAGGATGCGAACATTTTAAATGGAATTTTTTACTTTGTAACCCGACTTACCGAAGGACTTGCTTGCGCTTTAAATGTCAAGTTAGAACCTTGTCTCAAAAAATAAATTTAAATTCAATAATATCTTTTTTAAAGTTGTTCATTTTCAAGTTTTCTCCCCCTCCCCCGCCCCTCCTCCCTGCCCTCACCCCCTGCAGGGAACACTCCTCTGGATGCTTTGAAGCAGCAGCTATGTGTTGTAGAGGGTTGGAGCAGATTTAGTATTTTTGACACTATCCAAAGAAAAAAGTTCTAATTCATTGTAAATCCACCAGGGTCAGTTTATTAACAATCAGATTGAGAGGATCTTTCTCCCCCTCAAAGTTAACTTAGAGAAGCTATTATGTAACAAAAAATGCTATTTATTTTGTTTCCTAGCCATTGCTTAATCACTCAGTGGTAACTTTATCTTCATTTTTATTGTATTGTACTATCATGTGGTTGAGAAATACTGCTGATGCCTCTGTAGTCATGTGATATGATAGTGTTTTGTGGCAGTATATTTGCAAATAATTACATTACGTTTTTCTTACTGCTGTTTTATATTACATGAATTTATCATTTATGTATAATTTATGTAAAATACAAATAATTATATGCCGAACTATATAAAATAACAAATAATTATGTGCATTTTTTCCTGTTAGGAAACTTCCATTTTAATTAATTTTTTAAAATCCCATAAGTTGAAGTAAGATTTCTAAGACTTAGTATATAATTCTCAGAAGGCAGTACAAAAACCAAATAACTTTATTCAAAGTATTTGTGATAATTTTCTATCCCAGTGTAATATATTTGATGAAATCCCCTTTGAAGTTACTCTGTCACTTATATCAGTTTCATTGGGAGCATTTTACAGATGGCTGCATTACAGAGTCCTTTCTATGGTGACAAAATGAATTTGTACTCGCTGTGTAAGAAGATAGAACAGTGTGACTACCCCCCTCTTCCTTCGGATCACTATTCAGAGGACGTAAGTAAGCTTTCATTCCATGCATTCATCTGCTGTTCACTTTGCTAATGTTTGCATTTTATTAAGAAGTTTTTCTTTATCCAGAAATACAAATGACAAGTGGAGGTGTCCTCTCTGTGGGAGATTTGGTGTTATGAAAGTTGACTCTGCTACTCCTAAGGTGGAGTGGGCCCCAGACCAGCAGCTGGTCTAACATGGGCCCCTTTCCTGGTGTGCTGAGAACAGGTGCTAACTTTGTAGCTCACTGCCCATGGCCAGTGTTCATACCCAGACTCCCGCTTATCATCCTATCTGGTGGCCCCTCTGATTGGCCAACTCCTTATTCTCACAGCAAACAGATACAACTTCCTTTGTTGGCAGAAATTCCTTCCCTTCCATGTTTTTTTGAAAATCCAAACTTACATCTCTCAGACATCTTTCAACTTTATCCCTTTAGTTTTCCTCACTCTCCTTTGGCAGTATTTGTCAACACCATATTGCTATATTGCTGCAATTGTCCATGGAGAATTGTTTCAAGATGATCACTGTAACATGGTTTTTTAAAAAACAAACAAACAAACATATATTACATTGAACATTTCAGAAGATCTTATTTATCTTAACTATGATCTCAGTTGATAACCCATTGAAATGGAATTGCTTTGGCTCTAGCCAATACCCTATTTTTCATGGAGCCTCCTGATTAGCCTGCTAGATCATGACTTAGCCAATATTTGAGGAGATCTGCAGACTAGCCCTGCCTCGACTCTTTTAAATGCGTTCCTATGACTTTTTTTTTTTTTGAAAGTTGGCTGCAGCGCTACCCAGAGAAGGCAGTGCCTTGAGATCGGACCTCTCACCTCTTCCTTGCAGCAGATTTATTGCCCAAAGGAAATGGAAAGGAGCAGGGGATAAACTACAGGACATACAGCATTCACTTCTTAAGTAGCCTTAACCACTCTTTTGAAATAACTAGCAGCTTCAGCTCTATATAAGGAAAATTGAATCAATGTTACTTGAATAATGAATGTTTCAAAAGAATTTTTACTATGTGTAAAGCATGGGTGGCCCTAAGATGTTCTAAGTACCCCCTTTTTTTCCTCTAGTAGTTTTGATACTGATATTCAGCACTGCCCATTTTGATTTTGTTTGCTTCATAGCATTTGTGTTTAATAATGAGAATAAACTCTCCTAAGGCAGTGAGGATAATTTAGAGAATATCATCTTTATTTGATGCTAATGCCATTATGTTAGCCATTTTTAATGACTATTTTGGGTTTAGAATATACAGCATTTCACAAAACCAACTTCAGAACTCAAGGCCTGGAAATACAGTTGGGTGTGAACAATAACGCAGAATGATGGCAAGAATGTCAGGGGCCGTTCTTTGTTGTGTCATTCATGCTGTCTTCTTTTTTCCATGAAGCACATGAATATTTCACATATCTGCATCCTCATCCCCTATTCTTCTTGACTAATTTTCAGACTGTCTGAATTTGCATTTCACATGGTAGCTGATTAGGAGATGCCGAGTGCAGCAGTGAAGCCTCAGCAGGCGGTTACCATGGTGACCTTCAGCAGGATTTTAATGATGATACCACTAGTGGTTCGTTGAAGTCGGCCTGCCTGCGGGGCTACCTCACTGCAGCTAAGTGTGAAGTTGGATATGCGAATTCTCAGCCAAGGGGCAAATATCAAAGTCTGGCCCAGATAGAAGGTCTTAGAGTTGGGAAAAAGAAAATAGATTTCACTTTTTACTTGGCTTCGTAGAGTTACCAGTTTCGAAAAAGAAATTTAAAGCCAAAAATCTTATATGGTGTACTTTTCCCCAAAAAAGACAATACAGTTCCTCTCATTGGTGAAATCATTGTTATGATGTGATAAAATCAGAAGCAATAATGTCTTGGTAAATATGGAAACTAATTCATTCTAATGAAATGAAAGAAAATATAGACTTTAAGAAAATGTTGCTTGAATGTGTTCAGTTATGTAGGCAAGTTCTCAGAACAAGACTTTTGAAATGTAGATGTGCTGATAAATATTTTCTCTCCTTCATGAGCTACTCAATCTATTTGTGAAATAGTTATTTGGCAGTCATAGGAGCAAAAATTACCAATCTACTTGATATCCCCATTAATGGCATCTTCACTGTTTTTTATTTTATTTTATTTTTTTATGCAGAAGGCCTTTTGTGCCCATGAACAGGCAAAATTGCTATTTCAAGTTTTCAGCCAACAAAATTTAGTCACAATAAAAAGTAAAATATATTGTTTCTAAAGAGTGAGCTTTTGATTAAAATTAAGAGTAATTTTTTGTGTCAGTTTTATAATGAAATCAGTAGACTATACATGAAAAATAAAAACGTTAAGGAAATTAACTTCCTACATATAATCATTTAATAGTCTATTAAATGGATTTTTCTATTGCTTACTTGTTAAAACTACTGCCCTAAGAAGATTTATAGGGAATATTTCATAAGCACAGTAGCTGTGCCTATGAGTGAGCCTCATTGATAGAAAACCTAAGGAATGTATTGAGGCTTATTTCTAGATAAAACCATTCCAATAGGAAGAACTGAGAGTTGAACAATCTGAATTTTTTTTCCTTTAAGTGGTGTGATCAAACATAGACACACTTAAACAGAAAAACCAAAACTAGGAAATAGTATCTTTTGGAAAAGTAAAGTTCACAAATAATTCCATTAGACTTAAGTTGATATTCCTACACATATACGATTGGGATTATAGATTGAAATAGCTCAGCTGCTTGTGAGATGTTAGGAAATGCATTATTTGTAATGACTGATTTTTTTTAAAGTATGGGTCATTCTTTTTAGCAGTGCTCAATATCTGTTCCTTTTCTAGTCATGTTCTCATCCAGTAGCCATAGGGATTTGCTACACTTAATAAAAACCTTGGCTGGAAAAGATCGATATTTTTCCCTTAAGGATTGCTTCATCTTAATTACTACTTATATTGTTGATGATTGTGAAATTACTATCAGTGATGCAGGCATTTATTAAGGATTCACCATGCAGAAGGAATTATAATACAAATCCTGGGCTCACATCTCAAAACTTGCTGATCAGGGGGATACTCTCTACTTTCCCCGACTCTACTAATGCAGGTCCAACTAGATGCTTTATCCATTTTTCTTCTTTTCCTAGATACCGTTTTCCTCCTTCCAAAATATCCCTTCACCTCTTCTTTATCAAGCAAACTCATTTTCTGTGAAACAAAAACCCGAGGAAGCATCCTGCCCTGGCATGAAGTGTTTCTGCCCCTCCCTGATCCCCTCTCCCTTTCTGCTCCCCACTCCTGGCATCCTTGACATCACACTGCTCTCTAGATGTTTCTCTGCACCCGCAGCTCCCCCTCCAGTCTGCCTTGGTCCTGCACCTGAGGATCCGCAATTGCTTTTATTACCACTGCATCTTTAAGTCAGGCACATTTTAAAAGATACAATTATTGACTCATTGCTTGATTGAAGAAATAAGAGTGAAGGAATAAACTAAAGTGCAGAATGCATGATCACTACTGTAGAACAGAAAATTCTTCAAAGAACTCTTTCTGTGCAGAAATTTCTGTCCAAAGACACGACAAATATATGATAGTTTTCTTTCGTTATCAAAACTCTGCTGTATGATATTTATTGTTCATTCTGGTTTGGGTTTGGGGACTACATCTGCCAACTCCTGGTGCAGGGATCATTCCGGCAGTGCTCTGGGACCACACGCAATATCTAGGATCCAACCGGAGTCAGCCAACTGTTAAGCAACACCTTAACCTCTGTATTATCTCTTTGATCCACTTTCTTTCATTTTTTTAAAGCAAGCAGCATTGTCTTTGGACCATCTGGTGTTCAGTTATAGAGATTTTAAACAAATGTATCTTTCCCCTCAGTCAGTATTTTACTTTTTGAAAATACTCTGGAGTGGTCTTCAGAAAGGCATTTTCACTATTATTACTTCATTTTCTTGCAAGACTTGAAATTTGTAAGTAATTTGTTAATTGACAACTTAGAAAAACTAAAATGTGACTTTGTACTGATTCCTTCTTAACTGGCATTTTAATTTGAAAATCTGAACATTAACATTATGCAAAGTATATGTTTTTGTTCCTTTTAATATTAAAATTTATAATTTAAATAGAATACAAGAAATATTTAATAAAATGGTACCTTAGTGGTTATGTTTAACAATTTTTTGTTTTAAATTTAAGCAGATAGATTTGGAAGGAAGTTCTGAAAACTGAATAAAGAATTTGCAGATGAAATTAAAATATGGAAATCAGTAAGGAGAATAAAGGTGATCTTGATTTGAAATTAGTAGGAATGAACACAATTGATGTTTTACGGAAATAATTTGAGTGGAAAAGAAAGTTAAGCATCTGGAAAATGATGAGATGTTTCAAACTTTTTGATAAAGTGAGCTACTTCATTATAACAGTGTTTGCTGATTCTATTATGATGGCAGGGGTTTATCAACAATTTAAAATTTAGTGCAAATAAGAACTTTGTAGGACACAGTGTCTGTGTTTGTTGTCAGAGAAATTATATTTTTGACAATTTGCTGACCCAATAGGACTTACTTCTGTTTTTGGTAAGTGGAAAAACCAAAAATAATTTTAAAATATTTAAATCAGGAATCAAGTTTTTTACATACATAATGTCTCTTATTGTATATCAAAAAATCAGTTAAAAGGTCTCCTTCTTAGCTGTACAATTACCTTTTAAAATACCAACCTAAAAGGTCACATCTAGTCAAAGAACTCTCAGAAGGGAATCTCATAAACTGCCTTCTCAAAGTGACAGCACACCCTTTTTTAAAAATTTTAACCTCCCTTTCATTGTTTTTGTCTTTTTTTCCTTAGATGGTGCCACATCTAATCTCCCCTCTTTATTTTAAGGCAGAGAAATGGATTGCTAATGGAGAAAGAGAAGAACTTTTTCCTTCTTTCCACCTTTCCAAGAAATACTTACTGCTGCAACTTGGCAATCTTCCCTGCTTCCCTGTTTCACTT